GATGGCACTGAAACACAAATAACAGGCAATGAAATGAAAGCAAAATGGCAAACAGTTGAAAACATGCTGCAGGAATCCAAATCCATGCCCACCTCCTAAGCAACCACTGTTTTGAAAAGACTTGAACCCCCCCCCCAAAAAAAAGAAGAAAAAAAGAAAAGAAAACAACAAACAACAAACCAGGGGAAGGATTAAAGCAGCTGAATGGTCAAATTTAAAACAGAAAACGCAGAAAGCATATAATATTAATATAAGAATGTAACGCAGAATTGTACAAATATTTTCAGATTCAGATGACAGTGGCAATCATATGAGACAAAATGTTTGATTCAGACTCCAATAAATAATGTGAAGATAAATATATGAAACTGAAAACATGCAGGGTGAGAGTAATGTATTTTCAGTAACTTCATTCTGAAATTAATCAATTAAAGTCTACTCTTTTACCAAAACCTGTAAAAGATCTTAAATCAATCTCCAAAAAAATTTTTAAAAATAAATTAATTAAAGCTCGTCACTACTGTTGAAACCAATCTGATGGTGTGAACAACAAAATTTTCAGATCACTATATCACCTCCCCACCATAAAGCCTTGACTTACTCCCCCCTATGTACCCACCATATAGCCTTGACTTACTCCCCCCTATGTACCCACCATATAGCCTTGACTTACTCCCCCCTATGTACCCACCATAGAGCCTTGACTTACTCCCCCCTATGTACCCACCATAGAGCCTCGACTTACTCCCCCCTATGTACCCACCATATAGCCTTGACATGTCGTGACACAAATGAACAAGCCTGCATGAACAGGCATAAATAAGCAAAGCTACTCACGTAGAAGTAGACAGATCACTGGTACAGAAAACAGAAGTTGAATAACCTATCACAACACTCCACCTCCTCAACAGTCAATAATTATGTACATAATATAAGATCTGATAGAAAACAGGAAACAAAAAAACAAAAAAAACCCAACAAGTTTTGTGCGAAACGGAGAAGTGTCCTTCAAGAAGTACCGAAACTCAGACAAATTCTTTTTCAAGGGCACTTGGCAGTGATTGCAACCTCTTGAAGGACCTTTCATGAGACCTTGAAGCTCTCTAAAGGCGTACCCAGGATAAGTGTTAAAAATCATTTCATGAATCATCCCAACAATTAGAACATCTGAAAACATGACATGATGAATGCGAATGGCAGATTCTCAATGTGTGAACACAAAAGTAGTGTTCTGCAGCCAGGGGAAGGGTGGGGAGATGTTTGGACGAAAGATTAAGGCAAGCTTGGCATCAGTTAGAATGTATCTGACAAACTTTTAATCTCCCCCCCCCCCCCCCCCCCTGCTAAAAGTAAACTTTCCAGGAGGAGGGATAAGAGAAACAGTTCTAGTTCTAGCCTCAAACTTCCTGCCACGAGACAGAACAAATTCATAACATACTAACCCCTATCCCACAGTGTGTACTGCACCCCCCCCCCCCAATCAATGCTCTCTCTATATACACCACAAGTAAAGCACACACCCACATCCACAAAGGTTAAAAAACAAAAACAAAACAAAACAAATACAAACCCCAAAAAACCCTTAAAAAAGCAACGGCAGATATAAAGGCAACATTTTTACATTCCACCTGTCCAAAAAATTAGTACTCAATAATAATACTTGCAAAAGACAAAATTAAAGAGACTCAACTCTAAGAAGGCAAGACTGAGGCAGGGTGAGAGTCATATAGGGATGCAGCGCTACGCTACCATACACGGTGAATCAGTGTGACTGACGCCCTGATTCCATCCAGTAACAAATCGTGTCAGATTCGTTGTACACGAGAACTGACAGTTTTATCAAACTACACAATATTCTATGATATCTACACATTCTGATTTGTTGTCCAATTCTCTTTTGATAGGGGAAGATTTCTCCTCCTAACTACAGGCTTATTTAGACAGGAGGCTGGATTTTACAGCGAAATATATATATATATATATTTCACTTGCACACTGTTGTTCTGAGCTCTACATGTACGTGGTCCTTAACTCTTTCACTACTGGGGGGTTTTCCTCACCTGGACCGGGCCTTATCTGTGACCTACTTTCTAATTCTGCCTGCAGTCAGACACATTAAAGACTTTTTAGTTCAATTTTCCATAATAGCCACATAAATTACATATGAAAATATTGACCTATCTTAACATGTTGCTAAATGCAATCATTCTTCAGCCTCGGATTTCAAATTCGATTATGACAAAAGAAGGTGTGGTTTTGAAGCAAGAAAAGCTGAGCCGTGAAACACGGCTCGTGGTAGTGAAAGAGTTAAGGCGTTTATATTTCACACGAGACAAACTGGGACAACAGAAACCCTGTACAGAAGTAAAAAGAGCATCCACTACCAATCAACTAGAAGATCACAAATCAAAATTAAAATCAGTAAATTCTTACAAATGCAAGAATAAGGCAGTTTCAGAGACAGAATGCAGGGTAAGAAAAAAAAGAAGAAAACAATCAAATTCCTTTGATGGTCATTAACCCCTTCATTGCCATATATGAAATACATGGTAAATAAAAAAGAAAACCACATAATTTCTAGCTTTGTGCGAAATCAAGCACGCCAAGGAAGTTGGCATAATTTGCCGTTCCTGGTTGCCTATATCAATTGTTACACGAACGTCTCACTAATCATCCGGCTCTGATTCTTCTGTATTGAGATTTAGCCACAAACACAGTGTGCATCCATATTTGAGGGGAAAATACCCATACTGGTACTGAATTTGCCAGCATCACTTTACGTCGAAGCTTGCAAGCTATCGATAAATACAGGCCTGGTCTTACAGACAACGCATGATCTCCTGAAACATAAACATCAAAACGACTTTTAAAAAGGCAATAAATTTCCCTTTTTGATTTAGATTTGCTGCAAGTTGTTCGAAATTACGGGGACACTGGGGGGATATGGGGAAGAGGAAAGTGATGATGAAAGTGACACCAGCAAAGACCCGGGGTCTGAATATGAGACGAGTGGACCAGAACCCTTAGAGTGAGTAGACTCACACAGAGATTGAGGAGACTGCTGTCCTGGCCAGCGAGCTTACTTAAAAATAAAAGATAACATTTGTACAGAAGAGCATAAATTCCTGCTCAACAGCAAGTTTTATGCACTTAACAATCTATATTATTACCCCAGCAGACCTGATTACATTTGTTTTAGTTTTAGTAAGAGTTTTACAGCACTTGCAACACAATAGGGTCAAATAAGTGCCGAATATTAGAGGTGTTACAAGAGAGTAACAAACACAAAAAAGGAGGAGAGATAAAGAAAATAAATGTGTGATAAGAAAGAAGGAGCAGACCACACCAGAGCACCTGCCAACCACCCACTGATTGTATTCTGAAACAATGTCAACCTCCTGGGAAGCATACAGTACAAGCTTCCAGTGTTGACAGGAAGAACGTACAACCCCTGGCAATGAAGGGGTTGTCCAAATATTTAAAAAACGTAAACATATAAAACAAAAGATTTAGCACTAAAGTTAAAGCACAGATGCCTACAAACATGAAGGCCTGAACAAAGATACAAAGTTAGCAATGGGTAAAGATGCATCACCTTTCCTAAATGCATATATATATATATATATATATATATATATATATATATTATATATTACTGTAAGACTGACAATTTTACAACACAATCCATACCAAAAGTAAGGAAGGAAAACAGGGATTTCAATTAGAAATGAGGACAAGCAATATACAGTCAGTGTCACAGGCAAGCCGTGAAATAAAATTTAAAACTCACACTGCAGAGGTGAAGGGCAGAGACATTTCAGATCAGCCATTTTAAGCACAACCCCCCCCCCCCCCCCAAATCTGGGTAGACAGCCACCATGAAAGCTGTTCATGGGAAGGAAAGTGACGCTGACCGTTCTAAAAAACATGTTCTGTATTCTATACTTTTGTCAGTTTAGTTTTAGTAAGAGTTTTACGGCACTTGAAACACAATAAGGTCATATAAGTGCCGAAGAATAGAGGTGTTACAAGAGAGTAACAAACACAAAAAAGGAGGGGAGATAAAGACGGTAGATGTTTGATAGGAATGAAGAAGCAAACCACACCGGAGCACCCGCCAACCACCCACTTTTGACAGTGATGACATAAGCTTTATACAACTCAATAACTTTTCCAGTAAGTAAAATGAGTTACCGGTACTTTAACGCCAAAAGGTTCAAATGAGGGTAAAAACCTGTTACACGGATTGCAAACCAATAGAATGTGTTTTACTGTATACAAAATTACACACGCTGCACGTGACACCTACGACAATTCTGCCGTCCAAAGGAAGAATGACATAACTGCATAATTTTCATGATTTTGAGAAAAATACAAAAAGAACATGATGTTTAGAGAATCGTAAAGTATGAATGATTTTAAACAAGGTGTGGAAATGTAGATACGTCACTCTGCTATGGACAAAAGGATTGAGATCAGCCACTTACATAGCTTTACCACTTTGAAAATTTACTATTATTCGGAAGTGGCTATGTCGTCCAGCCCTTGACATAGGTGAGATATGGGCAAGACTAGTGGTACAAACCAATACAATTTTATAAAACTTTAAATTTGCAAGATACATAGCAATGCCTAGGTACGGCAAGACTGCCTAAATTAAACACATCATATATAATACAACTTTAAGAAACATCATATGATCATTGAACAGAAAGGAAAAAAAAAAAAAAAGCAGATAATTGCAACATTTTTTTTACCATAACCTCAAAAAAAAATAAAAATAATACAAACAAGCATTCTCATAAGGAACTTTCTTGATACACAAAAATACTGAAATTTTCCTTTCCTCATCTGTCACTCAATATGAATCTTTGCACATCCCTTGACCTTGGTCTTTTCGGGCAGTAGGAAAAAAGTTCAGCCACGATAGCTCTCCAACTTGTGTCAGTATTACGACTGAGGTCAGCAACTGACCAGAAGGGACGTTTCATTTTTTTTTTCCAAGTCAGTGCGGCTTTTGTCCACCAAGTTGGACATTAAGGCTTGTTCCACGAGAACGGTGACAAGCGACAAAGACAAACAGTATATTTTTTCATGGTGACCACAATATAATACAAAATAAATTGTTTCAAAGCTATAGTGTTTGGTCCTCTTACAGACATGGTGTTTAAGGATCACTGGCCACAACAACAAAATGCTTTACATCGGGATAAACGGGAATGTTCTTGGAAGTGTAGGGGTAAAACAAAATATTGAAAAAAAGCAAAGGGTTAAAGCATGCTGGGGGGAAACAAAATATTCAAATCAATAAACTTACTTCAACAATTGTAAAAAAATAAAATTGGAAAAAAAAAAAGGTAAGTATATGTGTTCAATGCCCCTTTCAACATAGGACTGAGCCAAAAGGGTGGGTCAAGAGCTTTGAAAACTCCATAAAATGACTCAAGTTCAAAAACTCCCTGGCTGGGATTTGAACCAGGACCATACCCCCCATAGTTCAGCATGATACCAACTGAGCAAACAGCGCCCAGCCACCATTGCAAGTAATGTAAGACAAAAACACAAAAAGATGGAGATTCCTTTTTCTACACAGATTCCATCCGACATAACAAAACAAAACATTTCGGTTCATGTTGAATATCTATGCTATTACATTTAATATCAGGACACAGATCATTCTACAATAAACAAATATAACTTAATTCAATTAACTGTTCGAAAAATATGTTTGATTAAACTTGGGAACTTGTGTACACATCTGTAAAAACAATGTTTCATGCTTATTAGTGCTATTTCATTACAAGAATAATTCAGAGCCATACTAAGCACAATACAAGTCCTTACACAGATGGTGTTCCTGCGGGTCTGTCAATTAGGCCTTCACTTGATTCAAGCAAAGGGCATACTTGCAAGGGAATTGCCAGCCCCAAGATCCTGGGAGGAGGAGGTTCTGGGGCTGTAGACCCTGAAAACAAAAAAAGTAAATTTTACTTTAATTAGCAAGCTCAAACAATGCCTAAATATACCCAAGTCATCGTATCGGATGCGTAAAGGGAGGCCCATCAAAACAATTATTGTCACTAAGTGCATGGAAAATGTTAGACAGTTAGTTTTAGTAAGCGATTTACAGCTCTTGCAACACAATTAGGTCATATAAGTGCCGAAGATTAGAGGTGCTACAAGAGAGTAACAAACAAAAAAGGAGGGGAGATATAGAGACGAAAGATTTTTTTTATAGGAAAGAAGGAGCAAACCACACCAGAGCACCAGCCAACCACCCACTAAATGTAAGACAGATAGACATGAAATAATAGAGGGAAAGAACAGAAGTAGGACCCACCAACTGCATAAGGTCATATGAGCACCAAGGGGTGGATGTCAACACAGAAATTCTTACAGGGAATCAAACTTACTCTGCTCACCTCTCTAGCTTCAACAGCACAAAAGTCTGCTTCGACTATCAAGGCACCCCGGAAATAGCGGGTCACAAGAGTGTGATAAACATACAAAAGAAGTAGAGGGAAAAATGACGATAGATCAAGAGAGGATTAGGAATGAAAAAGCAGCAGTTCCCTGTTGCAGTTTAGGCAAAGTAATGAGCAGAGCTGGTAGTAACGGAGTACAAGTACTCCGGTACTTGTACTTACGTTACAATTTTGGGTACTTTTACTGTACTCCGGTACATTTTTGAAACCAGTACTTTTACTGTACTCCGATACTTTTTATAAAAGTACTTTTGAGTACTTTTTAAGTACATTTTGAGTATTTTGGTAGCTTAATGAAAGGGTAAGTGCGGGCATTTCTGATCATAATTTACGAAGCAAAAACCCGATCAACCGCCGAGAGTTAAAAGATGAGATCAAAGAACGGCCCGTCGCCTCAAAGATCAGCCACTATCGTGAATGTGATCACAAGCGTTGTTAAACTCCTTGAAACGGTACAATGTTTGCTCCAGACGGGATCACACCAAGGTGTGAACTGACCGATGCGTTTCTTTTCCCCAAACATCGCACTCGCATCTGACCTCACCACCTAAACTTACATCACTCCCTGGGTGGGTAGGGCCTACAAGTTCGCTCCAGGCGGGATCACATCAAACTGTGAACTCTTCCCTGACCATTGAAAGCAGTTTTTCCCGAATTTGCGAGACAACCTGAATTTTAATTAGTTTGGTCACATCATAATGGTGCGTAATGACCAAGGAGGTTGGGGGGGGGGGGGGGGGGGAGACTCAATCAGAGATGGAAAGCTAAAATTGTTGGACAGGTAAAGGGGAGGGGCAACTGGATAAACGTAGATAAAGATCTTAAGACTCACGATAGGCTAATGAGTGTGTATATATAATATTATTGGCCACCTCTATTCTCACCCGGAGTGAGAATAGTGCAGGCGAGTCTTGTGGCTATTCTCACCCGGTGCGCGTTCACCGAATTTTGTGTTCACCCTAAACCACAGAATTCTACACTGTGATAACAGAAAAATTGTAGAATTCTGTGCCGTGAACAAACGTTCCATTACAACTGTAGCCTACTAAAAGCGTACAATTTTGTCTGTGGGCAGTGGAGAGAGAGAGAGAAAGAGAGAGAGGAGTAGCGCGAGAATTTCCGGGCAAAACAAAATGGCGACCCGCGTAGTTCGGTTCGATTCGAAAAGTTAAATAGCCGTAGCATCTTTGTAGACAACCAAATTAATTTACTTTTGTGTTTTAACATCAGTTTTTAACTTTGTTTTGGTCAATTTGATCGTCCACACCGATAGACAGTATTCAGAAAGAGACAGAGAGAGAGAGAGAAGAGGGGAGGAGTTGATCTTGCGAGACTTCCGGGCGGGTGAGAATAGCCACTTTCAATATTATTTATGGCATGCCTCATGCCACTGTGATTGGTAATCAAGGTTGACCACTCTTTGCTTGCCATATGTCATAAATCCACCCAGGGGTCACGTCAGTTCATGGGTCACTGTAGATTCTTCCTTGGCTTCGTTGGCTAAGATCCCATATTTTCCTTGCTTCCGAACACTGGGATCTTAGGCGGAGACTACTGCAGTAGAGAATCTTTGGTTACACTACACTTACTAGACTCTAGGAAACTATTGTATTTTGGTTTGCCGTTGGCGCCGTAGACTACACAGTGTGACCAAAATCTGTCAGACCACGATAATCAATTGAAACTGAAACTGTGTTCTCAATGTGTATCTAACAATTTTTAGGCTGCCTAAATTTCTTTTAAACTTTTTTTGGGTGGTTTTTGCTTAAAGCTTCATTGATTCCTTGAGGATTTGTTAATGAAGAATTCAATGCACTTTTCCATTTCTATGCGGGCCATTTTCATCAATTTTATGTTTTCTTAAGAGCAACTTTGTATCTACATTTTTCAATTTGGATTCTCTTTCTGTAGAACTTTCCGACCTCTAGGACTGACTTACATTTGATCACATTGTCTTGCTCAAACAAGTTCTATTCATAATATCACTTACCCACTAGTTGCGTCTGTTCGTTTGGGTTGTTTTTTGTTCAACTTCACGGACCATTTCCACCGTTCAGTGCGTACATTGTATATTCAAATGCTTTGTATACTGTTTACATTTTTAGTAATAAATAGCCTAATTTGTCAAATATACTGGATAAGTTATAAAATATGATGTTTTGCATAAGCGCTGAAGTGTTTTAGCATATTAGCAGAAAGTACTCAAAATGTACTCATAAGTACTTTTTATAAAAAGTACTTGTACTCAAGTACATTTTATAGGAAAGTACTTTTACTGTACTTAAGTACATTTTTTAGATTGTACTTAAATTTGTACTTAAGTACTTTTTAAAAAGTACTTTAACAGCTCTGGTAATGAGCATGACATTGATGAATCAGCCCATTAGCAATTCTACTGTGCATAATAACATGTTAATATCCCCCCTTTGGGAACGGCCTATAGACACTTCAGTCAGCAGCACCGCCCCGAGGGGTTAATAAATCTGCCTTTCAAGAACAAAGAAGAGAAGAAGAAAAAGAACAAAAACAAAATGAGAAAAATGAAGATAGAAGAGGATGGTACATGATGAGCAAAAGCTAAAAGAAAAGTAATGAGGACACTTCAAAGAGGAACTGTTAAGAGGGGGGGGGGGGGGGGGGGCGGCAGCTGAAGGCTATCTCGTTTATTAGCCAATCAAATGCTACCAAATTAAACACATATAACAAGCATAAGGAGTCTTAAAATTAAATTTGAGAAAAAAATGTTGTTTCCATGGATACGGCGGCCATATTGCATTTTGTTGACATGTCTTACGCAATTAATACCGAACTTTTTTTTTACTGGAAATAAATTGGTTTTTAGCATGCACCTTGGCAAACAATAGATCTAAAAATCTAAGTGATGAATTTTTCCTGAACGTACTAGAACATTTTTAATGAATTTTTTTCCTGAGGTAGTCACGGCGCACCGGCAGTGGAATTTTAGTTGCCGCGGAGGGTTCCCCGCCGGGCGCCTTATCACGTCAGGGTCACGGGGGTCAGCTCCCTGTCGCCGCTCTGTCTGGGCCGACTTAATTTTTGGTACTTTTCAACGTACAATTTAAGGTGTATCCTTGTATTTATGGTAATTCTCATTTAGTGCACCCAAAGCATGCATTTCTGCTCTTGAGACTCAAAAAAGAACGGACGTTGTAACTTGTCTGGTTATTTCGTTAGACGCGCAGGAGTCAGCAATGCTAAATTGTAATTTTTTTTGGACTAGCACGAATTTTTTAAAAATCAATATAAAAAAAGGCCTCATCAAAATCTATCGAACTTTTGGAACATGAACGACATAGCATTGGTGCAGATACTCAGAAAAGATGGTATCTGTGCATACAATAGAAAGCTTTATTTTTGCAACTTTATCCATCGGGCACACAATTCGCTATGAAGTAATTCCTCCAAATACAACTTTATATGTGTCTAATATAATCATGAATATTCGCATCTCGAAAGTTTATAAAAGTCACCATGAAGTTTCTCTATGAAAAGTACAAATCGTTGTTAGTGACAGAATACACCTTCAATGTAATGCACGAACAGTATCTGTAACACTCCAGAAATTCCTTACTTTTCTTAAAACGCTAAGTCTAGGTTTTTTAAGTTGACTGAATAATAGGGATGACTTCTCGTAATTGGGTTCTAAGAATAACTTCTAGCTTTCCAGGGACACTGAATCAGCACCAGACTTTTCCAGATTTATTTTTCGTTTCTATGACCATTTGCAATAACTGACAATGTGACTGATTTCTTTACATTCATAATTGTGTCCGCGCATATTTCCGACACAAAAACTAAGAATGAATGTGTTAGCTGTCATTATTTTTATTCCTATCGAGAAGTTTATCTCTACCTATGTATTTACACGGTTTTGTGGTTTTTTTAATCGCTTAGATTCTATATTATATCTTTTTAGTTGTATGCAGGCTGCCACAGACACAGCATGATTCATGAACAAACGCAGAGTAACTTTCTCTTGTTTAATAGTAAAATAAGAGCTAACGCTGATCATCTTCAGTTAAAAAATGCAGATGTGCATCTTTCTTCTCTTATAATAACTTGACTATTTCTACTCTTGCAGATTTAAGATTTCTCATGGTAGTCAGTTTAACACAGATTTTGGAGAGATCTGTGGTGCTTTTTAAAAATTAACAATCATTTATTCATAAGTTTGTAACTAAAATAGGACAAATTGGGTACTCTACAAACACTTGTCTAGAACAAAAACTAAGGCACAGAAATTAACCATTCTAATGCAGAATAAATCTCAGGACATTGAGCTTTTAGTACATCCACGTAATGGTTTGCTATGCGGGATGGGGAAGAAGTTATATCATTTTAAACATAGTCAAAAATGCGAACTTCCTAACCGACACCGGCAAAGTCGCTTCAGGGCTCATTAACCCCGTGACCCCGAGCTGGGGAGCTCCGGCGGGCTGCTGAGTCACACAAACTAAAAGTAACAGAATCAAGCGAAAAGTGACGCCCTGTAGTATTCACGTTCGCAAAAAATACGTGAAAATCTAGACTCCAAACACCACCAACAAAAAGCTATTCCATATATCAAAAATTCATCACACAAATTTTAGTATTAGAGCTTTTCTTCATTCTGTGAAATTTTATGAAGTTGGATGAAAAATGGTGAGAGTTATTTTTTAAAAAGTATATAAAAAATTTTTTTTTAAAAAACAGGTTTCGAGAAAACGGGCAATTAAGAAAAATGAACAATGAGGAAATGGTGGTGACAAACATGCATGGTATGGGATGAAATAAGGCTTTAGGGGGGAGCTTATGGGACGAAATAGTAGTAAGAGAGGCTGAAGAAGCTAAAAATGCCTACAACTTAAAATCCATAGTTTTGAGACGAATCGGAACTTTCGACACCCCCCCCCCTCCCCCCCCCCCCCACCTGTCAGTATAGACTCACCGCTGGAGGGAGACAACCCCCCCATCCTCAGTGCTGGAAGGCCTGCAGCATTTCTTCCTCTGCCGCCCCAAGGATGAGCAAGATTGTTGTGCCAAGGGCTATGCCACAGGCCTGGAGAAGAAGGTGGAGGTACCATGGCTCTCCGCACTTTGTGTACACTGAGGACATCTCAGGAATCTGTAATAGGACCACAAAAGACATTATTAAATAAACCACATTTTATTGATCTCGGTGGGGAAATTTGGGTTACAAAGGCATACATACATCTATATAATATTTGTGAAAGTTTGTCATTTCAGTTGCCTAACTTCCTAACCACTTAACTTTCAAATTTAAACAAAATTTACGGTGGTTCAGAACCATATAACAGTTATATTAAGGAGTCTGAAGTCACTGTAATTTAATTTTCAGTTTTTCATTAGTTTCGTTTAGATCTAGTCTTGGGAAAGTCCATCATCTAAGACGCCATTGTAAACAAGTGAGGCTTCCGTTCACAAGCAGTGCACACTGATTCCACAATGACTTGATGATCGATTCTTTGGAGTCTGTTGATAGAATGGATACTCCAGCTAGTAAATACATAATTATTAATACATACATATATACACGATATTACACAAATACAGAACAATTTCACAAACATGCCATTGCTGATTCCCACTGTGCAGCACCCTGTTATTTTTTCAGCCTGGGTTGTCATGTCTTGCTCAAGGACACACCCCAGTGACAACCCATCTAAACCCTGTGTCACCGACACTTGCTTGACTTTACAATTGAGTCTGAACTCAGTGCTCACTTAGCCACTGGAGCCCCCTATTTCTATGGTGGTGAACACCTTCTGGACCACCGACGTACTTATACACGGACTGCCCCCGACCGAATCGGACCACCGACGTGTATTTACGTGATGGCAATACCACTCATTCAAGCCAGTTCAGGTATATTCGAAATGATCCATGTTTTCCGACTGCTTGTTCAAACACAGGAGAGTTCTTTCCCTTTCAATTTCCCCAAAGTTGAAGCCAGTTTGAGTTGATTAGAAGTGAAAAAATGTCTTTGAAATGAGTATTTACAAGGGGTGTGGGCGGCGGCTCCTGTCCTGGAGATAGGATCAGCTGGTGTGGGGTCAGTCCCCAAGGTGTTAAGGAGAACCGTTAACTCTTTCACCAAGGTGGGTCGTGTTTCACAGCTTGTGTTACCCCCTACGCTGGACCGCGAGCCGTATTTTATGGCTCGCCACTTTCTGGTTCAAAACCATTCCTACATTTGTAATAATCAAATCTGAAATCTCAGGCTGAAGAATTATCGTTTTTAGCAACATGTTGAGATAGGTAATTATTTCCCCTTTATTTCCATATACAATACATGTGGCTAATATTGAAAATGGCACTTTAAAAATCTTTAACTTGTCCGACGGAAAGCAGAACCAGAGAGTAGGTCACAGATAGGGCCCGTCCAGGAGAGGAAACCCCCCCCCGTCAAGAAAGAGTTAATCTATCACAGTGATGTGCTGGTCCAAAACGGGTGGAAAAATTACACAAGTCAGAGAAATCACTATCAGATCAACAAAGGCAGCATTTGTCATCAAAAGGCACAGTGAGATAGTGCAACAACTGACATAGCTTCACTACTTCACGATATCTTCTTTCTCTCATTTCCTTGCTAGATCTCACGGATGATCAACTGCTAGTTTTTCAACCAGTCGTGCAACTGATTTTTTACATATGTGATCATTTTTCCAAACTACGAAGGGCCTCTAGCCTTCAAGCAGCCACATTCTGATTTCTAAGAACTAAAATAATTCAAATCTTAGCGAAGAGTACCATTTCTTTGACAGAGAAGTCATGGTTGGCAGGCATGATCCTGAAATGTCTGCCAGCCAGAGGGCGACGGTCCCTAAGGTGTTAATACAGAACAGTCAAAATTGTCCAAGACAACCACCCATTGTGGCGGAGAACAGTAGTTGCCTTAACCCATTTCCACCCGAGTTGCCTCCCTGAGCAGACACACCCACCTGGGCTGCCTCCAGCCACACCCACAAAGTTAGGTACCCACACTAAAACTGCAGCAACTGTCCCTCCAAACATCTACAAAACTAGCAGACAATAAGCGTACAGAAGTGCAAGAACGGTCACTTTAAAGTAGTGGGTTTTTTTAACTTGAAAATAATGGACCATGGAAAGTTTTATAGAGACAAAGAAACAGGGATTCCGATTTTCTCGTAGTCAGGTGGCTACCTGGATATGAGTATTCTCATATGCCGTCAGCAATGAGTTAAACAGGTTGTCGTCTTGGGTTGCGTCATTATATTTAAAAAACAGAAGAGGGAAAGTGGGAAGTAGCCGCCTGTACAGGTGACTGTCTTGGGCAAGCAGAAGTAAGATCAAGGTTCGACTGTAGTAGGAAGAAACATAAAAGATGACAAACAAAAGTACTCATTAAATGTTAGACAGGGTGGTGAAATCAGGCGCTCGTCAAAATAATCAAAGTGAAGAAACTGGTATTTTTCCACAGGTTTATGGATTTTTATCGAATTTCGTTTCTTGGCTCAACACCTTTCATGTTCATTAAAGAACACATTTCTGTGTGGATTTTACAGGAAAACCTCGATTAAAGGCAGAAATAATGTAAGATTTCAGTTTCCACAAACTCTCAAGCTGTGGAAATAACCAGACTATAACAGTCATTTTCTCGCAAATTTTACCTCTGAAACCATGCGACCCCGACCCCCTTCAATCACAAATATTTATACTTCTATTAAACATAGATAGATAACTTTTTCACCAAAAGGAAGAAGAATGAACAGGCTTTAAGATGATACCAATAACCCCATATGCCCAAAAACTGACGAGCGCCTGATTCCACCGCGCCGTGACACAAATAAGTTTTTGCCTGTTGTGCAGCAAGCACGTACCAGATCAGCCAAAGTGATGTAGATAAACATCCCACCGACCCAGGAAAAGATCCACTGGGACAGATAACCGTACTCCCCGGCCAGCAGAGCAACAACAGCGCCCAGATAGCAGGGGATACCAGAGACCATGTTGAGGAAAGCTGCTCGTTTCACGCTCAGCCCGGAGCGAATCAGAACGGCAAAATCCCCTATGGACGAGAGAAAAATTCATTTTGAGCATCTAGAAAATAATAATAAAATGAACAACAATAATAATGATAATAATAACAATATTAATTTTAATAATAATAATGATAATAACAATGCTAATGAGAACAATAACAATGACATTCACTACTGGGGATTTCAAAATCAGAGTGGACAACAGTACTCTCCAAGTCCCTAAAAAAAAATCATTTTTAAAGCCCAGTCAACTGCATACGTGGCTTTCTTGAGTGGGTTTAACAAAAACTTTTTCCTCATTGTTCATTAACTTTAAAAGTAAACAAAAAATGTTTTACATTTTCTTCTAATTTTTTAAACACTAATCCGTACGTTATGTTTTACTATTGTATCCATACAACGTGGGGAACTCTGTGCCATCACTTCCAAAGAGGATATTTACTCATTAATCTAATCCGTACGCTTTGCATAGCAGTCTGTCAAAATGTTCTTTTGAGAATTTCTGAAAGTTTCAAAGAGATCTTCGTACTATAAGTATTCTAAAATGTGAAGAACACAATACCGGGGTACAAAATGACCCCCGAGCGAACGGACAGGGTTAATTAGCATGAACACAGAGGGGAGCACTCACGTGCATCATATACCTACCAATTTCGTGCGGCAGCTCGTGACACAACACTGCCACAGACGTGCTGACGCCTCCGGCCAAAGAGGCACTGAAGGCCGCGCCAATAGCCAGGCCGTCGCAGAAGTTGTGCACCATGTCACCCATGATGACCATCAGGGCGATGGCTGGAAGGGGGCCATTGACCATATGACTGTGAGAATGGCCGTGGTTGTGTTCATGGCCAGTCTCCATGTCATGGCTCTCCAGTTTAAAGGATATTCTGAAACAAACAGAAAAAGCCAGGGCTCTATGAGAAAACTCACATGGATGGGTGCTTGGCGCTGCCCTGCACTTAGCGACCTGCATAGTTCCTACCTACCTGCCTCCAAAGATGTCGGAAATAACTCTCTACAGCGACAATACGCAGCTGTTAAAAACCTGTTAAACCTGTAAATTCGTTGCCATATTGACAGACCAAAGGGCTAGGCCTAGAACTCAGATCAAAAAAGGAAAAGTAAAGTAAAGTGCTTGGTGAAAGAAAAAAAAAGTAGACTGGTTCATTCACTGTTTCAGCAGTGAGACTTTTGCTGACACACTAAATCATAAAGTCCCTTCACATAATATTATATACTATTTATTCACATTCTCATCTAGTCAGAATTAAGGAGTCATCTGGCGGCCATGGATTCGGCTTTAGTTTTAATTTTAGTAAGAGTTTTACGGCACTCGCAACACAATAAGGTCATATAAGTGCTGAAGATTTTTAAAGTTATAAGAGAGTAACATACACAAAAAAGGAGGGGAGATAAAGATGATAGATGTTTGACAGGAAAGAAGAAGTAAACCACACCAAAGCACCCACCAACTACAGTCGAACCTGCCGTGACGGCCACCTCTACTACGGCCACTGTCCATTTCCCCCCTTGCGTTTTTTTCGATATAATTTAACTGTGTAAGACGGACACCTGTCCAATGCGGCCGCTGCCACCATATTTTAACACACAACCCCTATCACACTAAGCAATAACACCTGTCTTAGACGGCCACCTTAGTGACTCCATTACGTTTTGTCATTAATTGTGCTTTGACCCCTGGCGTTGTGGGTGAGCCGTCATTATCTAATCACCTGTCGTTGTTGTTAGGTAGTCCCTCCAAGCGATCATGTTGCGTAGGCCCCTCCCACTGTGGACCAATAGGAACCAATTTCCAGCTGCTGGTGAGGGAAGCGTGTGATCCCTTATAACCCATAAGCCCCGCCCCGAACTCATACACAAATCGTAAGTGAGATGAGTGGTCACTGTTTACCCAGTCTGTAACAAAGTAACAATGGATGTCAACATGGACTTGTGACAGAAGCATCGCTAGTTCTTCGAGTGGTACCGACCCATATGTTTGTTTTACCATAGCACTCGGTCCTCCTTGTCTGACACATTTTGTTTTATTGTCACCCTTGCACAAAATCAGCAACAAAATAAAAATAACCAACAAAATACAGACCAAAAACAACAATAATGCGGCTACTTTCGATTGGGAATGGGGTTTGTTTTCTTCATCTTGATCAGTCCTGCCTAAGAAGGCCACCTGTCTTATACGGCCACTTTTCTCCTTGACAATGGGTGGCCGTCTTCCACAGGTTTGACTGTACCCACTCTTGTATTAGTTGTGGTTTTATGGGGCTCGCAACATGAGCGCCAAGGGGTGGTCTTCAACAGAGAAGTCTTTACAGGGAATCAGGCTTACTCTGCTCACCTCTCTAACTTCAACAGCACAAAGTCTGCTTCAACTATCAAGGCACCCCAGAAATAGCGGGTCACAAGAGTGTGACAAACATACAAAAGAAGTAGAGGAAAATGACAATAGTAACGATTAGGAAAAAAAAGCAGCAGTTCCCTGTTGCAGTTCAGGCACAGTTATGAGCATGACAATGTTGAATCAGCCCATTAACAATTCTGCTGTGCATAAGAACTTACATGTTAATGCTCCCCCCTTTGGGAATGGCCCAAAGACACTTCAGTCAGTAGCACCGCCCAGGTCACATGTATAAGACAATTACAAGTGCAAAGAACCACCTCCCATTTCCTCCCTGGCGTATTTTTTTGCGTTATAATGACATGCGCCACCTGTCTAAGATGACCACTTTTCTTTTCAGCAATGGGTGGGCATCAGTTTCAACTATAGCACTGGTAAACATTTCATTTGCTCGAATTTCAGCATGTTGATGTAAATGCATCTCCCCCTGAAATAAATAGAAAGTATCAAACAGGCCACTGGAACTATCATGAAGCAAAGAGAGATTTTAGTTTTAGTATGAGTTTTACGGCACTTGCAACACAATACGGTCAAATAAGTGCCGAAGATTAGAGGAGTTACAAGAGAGTAACCAACACAAAAAAGAAGGAGGAGAGATCAGGATGATAGATATTTAATAGGAAAGAAGGAGCAAACCAAACCAGAGCACCCGCCAACCACCCACAAAGAGAGACTTCTCTTCAAAGGGACTGCAAAACTGGCTCTGAAACTCTGTTGTAATTTCATTACTTACCCAAGAATCTCTTCATCCACTTTCTCAAGAACTTTTCCATTTTTTCTGATTGCATGCTCAGCAGCCAACACGTCAGTGGTTTCCGGAGACACTCCTACTTCATCCACAGGAGAAGCCAGATGTGATTCGTCACACATGTGCAGGTACGACTCGTGGGAGGCATCTGCAAAGCCCTTCAAGGCTGGGGGAAAAAAGTTGAAAAGAAAAAATTCAATGGCTTTAACACTTTTCCTACCATGAGCTGCATTGTGCGGCTCGCAATCGTGGCACCGCTGGACAGAGAGCCGCAAAATACAGCTCGAGTGGCTGGATATCTATGCCAATTCAGTAATGAAAAGTAAGACACAAAATTCTCGGCCGATCCATGTTTTCAAAATAATAGAATAGACTTCCTCAGCCCTGTTTGCGGATGCCAAAGAAAATACAGCACTCACAGACTATTTTTACTCATTTCAGGGCTTTTTTCTGTACCCATCGAAACACAAAAATGAAAAGAAAACTACTCCTCTGACTTCAGTATATGTCTCATATTTTTACTTCTATAATAGGTACACATACATAACTTTCAGCATGTTTTTGCATTACTCGAAGCAACCAACCTGGGAAGTTTGAATGATGCTGTTGTACTTTTTTAGTTTTTTGACCTTTCAAAAATGGAAAATTGTTGATTTCATATGACATCTTCGATATTGCATAATCACTTTTAGAGACCCTAAACTAATATAATTGTAATAAATCTTCAATATTGTACCACCATCTGATAGATTACCTTTTAACCTTCAGTTTGATATGCCATATTTATGATATGGTTTGTGTGTATTTAGTTGGAGGTTTTGACATTTTCCTGTTGTGGGTTAGGGCCATAAAAATAGGTCAGGGAAAAGCCCTGGGCTGGTGGTGGATTTTGGCCGGGTAGGAAAAGAGTTAAGACAAGAGGAACCCGTAAGTTAGAAGGCAAGCTTTTCTTTGGCTCTCATACACTGGTTGTTAAATCACAGCTCAAACCAGCTCGGTCTGTTGATAATTCGGAAGAGGGGTCACAATGTCTGTATATCCCACATCACAAGGTTTACAACGAACAACCAATGTGACCACCACAAATTGTTCTGACCTTCAGGACGATAAAGGCTTGATAGGAAAGAAGGAGCAAATCACTACAGAGCACCCCCCGGCCACGCACACACATACCCTTTTTCTGAGAAGTTTGCTTGCTTTAACACTTTTCCTAGGAAAACTGGATGAAATCTTCAATATTGCATCCCCATCTGATAAATTAATTTTCTTAAATTGGTGGAGTAGGGGCGTAAAAATAGGTCAGGGAAAAGCCCTGGGCCAGTGGTGCATTTTGGCCTGGTAGGAAAAGAGTTAAAAATAAACAGATGCACACTAACATGGCACCCATTACGTACAAGAAATTGCATGGTTAAAAAAACCCAACAGCAAACAAGCAAATGGAAAGATAGAATCCACTATCAGCGACCTCTAACCACCACCTTGTCAATATTGCGTACAGACATAATAAATCCTTTTCGGCAACTTTTGAGCAACGCCCAGTTATATGGGATTTGTGACGCGATGCAGTGGAATCAGGCGCTCTTCAATCATTATCTTGGAGTATATGGAATTATAGGTAGCATCTTTAAGCTTGTTTGTTTTGCATTTGGTCAAAAAATGTCCATCTAACTTGAATAGACGTTGAGACATTTACAATTGAAGGTGGGGTCACTTGGTTTCAGGAGTGAAATTAGTGAGAAAATAGTAGTCATAGTTCGGTCACTTCCATATCTTGAAAGTCCTAGGGAACTGAAAATTTACATTTTTCGTGCCTGTAATTGACGTTTTTCAGTGATTTCCAGTGACATAGAAATATCTTTTTCAATGGACATAAAAAGTGTTGAGTCAAAAAACAAAAATTTGATTAAAATTGCCAAACAGGAGGAACAGTGACAGTGACAGTTTCTTCGATTTCATTATTTTGACGGGCGCCTGACTTCACCACGATGCCTCACATTTATTTATTAACAGCAACTAACTACATTCCAGCACAAGACAAATGTGTCACGATGCGGTGGAATCAGGCGCTTGTCAATTTTTGGGCATATGGAGTCATTGGTATCATCTTAAAGGTAGTTCCTTTGCCTTGTTTTCGGTGAAAATAGTATCCTTTAATCTTGAATACAAGTCGAGATATTGGCGATTAAAGGAGGTGGGGTCGCCTGGTTAGAGGTAAAAATTAGTGAGAAAATGGCGGCCAACGTTTGGTGACTTCCATAGCTTAAGAGTCCTTGGAAACTGCAAATTTAAATTTGCTGTGCCTTTAATCAGTGTTTCTCCATAAAATCCACACATAAAAGTGTTTTCGAATGGACGTACAAGGTGCTGAGCCAAAAAACAAAAACTTTTTTTAAATTTCCAAACTGGCTGAAAAATGCAGATTTCTTGGATTTCATTATTTAGACGAGCGTCTGATTTCATGACGCTGCCTCACAAATGTCTACTAGCCGGTGGGGGTGAAAACAGCAGCTCTTACCTTTATTGGGATGTACCACCATAACAGTGTCCTCACAAGAAGGTTCATTCAGTTTCCCATTGGGGCCCCTGGCTACCATAGGGATAGACACTGAGGCATCACAAACCTGGCAGAGGACATACATATGGTTTTTAGTTTTAGTTAAGAGTTTTACAGCACTTGCAACACTGTAAGGTCATATAAGTACCGAGGATTAGAGGTGTAACAAGAGAGTAACAAACACAAAAAAGAAGGAGCAGAGATAAGGACGATAGATGTTTGTAGGAAAGAAGAAGCAAACCACACCAGAGAACTCACCAACCACCACAGAGGACATTATGTATGTATTCATACGACTAGTCAGATATATGAGAAGGGTCCAGGCAAAATGAGCCACTTCTTGGATTTGAGCCCTATGGAAATAGATACATCAAGCTTGTGGGTGGTGTTTTTACAATTTATAAAAAGTATGAAATAATATAATGCATGTTTAACACAAAATAAGGCATCAATTTTTTGCCAATACCTCCACTTGTGGATTACGAGAAGTAATTCATTTTGTCAGTATACCCCACATATTATGGTTAAGCTGACATGGGAGAAAGGTGGTTAATGAAAACTCTACATCATGCACAATTTTGATAAGCTTTTTTTTTATATAGTAGAGGGTTTTACGGCGCTCGCAACTGCATAAGGTCATACGAGCGCCGAGGGGTGGGTCAACAGAGAAGTCTTTACAGGGAATCAGACTTAGACTGCTCACCTCTCCAGCTTTAACAGCACAAGGTCTGCTTCGACTATCAAGGCACCCCGGAAATAGCAGGTCACAAGAGAGTGACAAACATACAAAAGTAGAGGAAAATGGCAATAGTAAGGACATTGGAACAATATAGAGAACATATCCTTATCTGTTTTGACAATGTCTAAAATATGTCATGCCACAGGGGAGGATACCGAAAAGAAAAAGAAAAAGACAAGAGGTCCTGCAATTTGTAGTGACTTATGCATTTCTAGCTGGGTACCCGGTTCGATGAACAGAATAAAAAAAATAGATTGTCAAGTCATTGTGGGACCAGTGCGCACAGCATGTGAACGGAAGCCTCACTTGTTTACAATGGCGTCTTAGAAGACGTGCTTTCCAAAAATTAGATCTAAACAAAACTAACGAAAAACTGAAAATTAAACTACAGTGACTTTAGACTCCTTAATATAACTGCACCCTTTAAATGATTTCTGAACTACCGTTAATTTTTTCAATTTCGAAAGTTAAGTGGTCCGGAAGTTTTAGCTAACCAAAGTGATGAACTTTCACAAATATATAGATGTCTTCAAGGACAAATACAATTTAAATCTTTTCGGAAGCAAGCTACTTCAATTCTGTTTGTCAACTGGATACTGTATCTCAGCAGAAATAAAGAAGATATTTGGAAAAAAAAAAAATCAGATTGTTGACATGCAAGTCAAAGAGCTCAACCTCTACACTACAGATTCAGTTACTCATACATTGGACCTAGAAAAATAGAAAAGGTAGAAGACAGAAAAGAATGCCAGAAGTAAACTTGACTGTTTAGTTTTAGTTAGAATTTTACGGCACTAGCAACACAATGAGGTCACAGAGGTGTTACAAGAGAGTAACAAACACAAAATAGAAGGAGGGGAGAAAAGGACGATAGATGTTTGATAGGAAAGAAGGAGCAAAACCCTACCAGAGCACCCACGAACCACCCACACACTTGACTATAGGTTTACTGCATATGAACACATAATATACATATACACAAACACACTCTCATCTCTCTGTGTCTCAACACACACACACAAACCTTCCGTTCCAAACAGGCCTTCCTCTGTGACTTTTTCGACTTGCGATCTCTCTGGGACGACGTGAACAGTGTGAACAACCTCTCCAGGAAGAAGAAGCCATAGATGCCCAGTAGCCCAACCAGGCCTTTGTACATGGCTTCCTGGTGTTTGCTGTGGCTGTCGTGATGGCCGTGTCCATCTGGGGAGTCCTCCCCGTGACCATGACCTTCGTGATCATCTCCCCCGTGACCATGACCTTTGTGATCATCCCCTCCGTGACCATGATCCATCATTGCCTGTAGACAATCAAATAATTCTTCGGTCTTTTTGAGGTCTCAGCACATTTCCATACCACTGATTAACACTTTGCCATCACAAGGCTCATATAGTAAAAACCCTTGCCATCAAAGGCAAAGGCTTTTTGGGGGGAAAATCCAAAGAAACTGGGTGGTAAACATCGCCGATCAGTAAGATGTGATGGCACTATGTTAAACATGTTAGTTAAAGTATTTCAAACTCCTTTCATTTTTTCTTTAACCCGGCAATTATTTTCAACGTTTTCACGGAAAGGGGGAATACAAGCAAAATGTATTTTAAAAATGCCTTAAACTGTCAAATTGAAAGAAGAAGTAGTTTATAATACATTATATATGTGTGGCATCATGGTGAAATCAGGCGCTCGTCAACATAATGAAATAGAAGAAACCCATAATTTTCCACCCACTGGGCAATTTTTATTTGTTTTCAGTTTTTTAACAACTTTTAAGTCCATTTAAAATCACATTTGGATGTTACTTGGTCGGTCAGAGAAAGTGTAAATCTGCAGTGTCCAAGCTTTGAAAGTTATCAAACGTTTGCGGCCATTTACTCAGTAATGTTTCTTTTGACACTAGGTGACCCCCACCTCTCTCAATCGCAAAGATTTCTACTTCTGTTTAAGATAGATGGGTATCTTTCCATTGAAAACAAGATGAATAAACACGTTTTAAGATGATATTAATAACTTCATATGCTGAAAATTGACAAGCGCCTGATTCCACCATGTCGCGGCACATTTATCTAATACTTCAGAGTCAAAATGAATCAATATTGCATTCACATAGGAAATTGTATTACCAGTAATACTTCATGTACTCTGCAATCAGACCAGACCCTGAGACCTTCTACTTGGGGACTGGCTGAAGTTCACTGGACACATATCCTCCACTCGAAGTTAGAGAATCAATGACTTATCAACACCCAGAGATATCATTCTAAAGATTGTTCAATTCCGTACTACAAGTAAACGATTATTTGATCTGGACTCTTTTTTTCCCCACAATAACTTCCGGGCATAGTTTTGAACGGCTATCAAAGAGCCCATTTTTCTCGTGTGGGCAGATTGCTGCCATAACCTAACTAAAATGAATGACTGATCAATGTTGTTTGTACTTCCACTTTCAATCAATAGTAACAAAAAATTAGCATTATAAATGCAAACCTACAAATACTTGTTGAGCAAAAATACTTGAAACTACAACATATGTGAGGTAGCGTGGTGAAATCAGGCGCTCGTCTAAATAGTGAAAGTGAAAAAAATTGGCATTTTTCTGCAGGTTTGGGAATTTTTATCGAATTTTTATTTTTCAGTTCAACACTTTTCATGCCTATTAAAGAACACATTTGTGTGCGGATTTTTACTGAAATCGATTAAAGGTATAAAAGATGTAAATTTTCCATTTTCAAGGGCTTTCAACCTAAGGAAATAACTAAACTGTTGCTGCAATTTCCTCACTAATTTTACCTCTGAAACCAGGTGACCCCCACTGCTTTCAATCACGAATAACTCAACTTGTATCCAAGACAAAAGGATTTTTTTTTTTCATCGAATGCAAGGCAAATAAACAGGCTTTAAGATGATGCCAATTATAACTCCATGTACCCAAAAACCAACGAGCACCTGATTCCACCGCGTCATGACACATATGTGATTATCACTTGTGATACAGTATGGTATATAAAGTCCAACCCGTCCAAGATGACCTCCCACTGTCAAGGAAAAACAGGTCATCTTTGTAAAAGAAAAAAAACAAGGGTAATTGATTTGGACTTGTGGTCATTAGAGCAAGTTCAACCGTATATTATGTGAGGTATCATGGTGAAATCAGGTGCTCGTCAAAATAATGAAATCAAAGAAACAACGATTTCCAATTAGTTTGGCAATTTTAAAGGATTTTTTGGTTTTTGGCTCAACACCTTTTATGTCCTTACAAAAACACATTCTCGAGTGAATTTTACAGAAAAACATAAATTAAAGAAACATAATAGATCATTTTTCAGTTTTCAGGGACTCTCAAGCTACTGAAGTTACCAAACTTTGGCAACCATTTTCTAACTAATTTTACCACTAAAATCAGGCGACCGCACCTCCTTCAATTGCAGATATCTTGACTTCTATTCAAGACAGATGGATAGCTTTTAAATTGAAAGCAAGATAGATTAATAAACTTTCATATGATACCTATAACTCCACAAACACCTGATTCCACTGCAAATACTACTTCAGTAGTACTCCAGTAAATGACCCTACACAAGTGACATTTGTGTCATGATGTGATGGAATCAGGTGCTCATCAATTTTTGGGCATCATGCGGAGTATTGGCATCATCTTAAAGCTTGTTTATTTGTATAAATTTCGATGAAAAATTATCTAAGTAGTTCTCTTAATACAAGTCGAGATATTTGCGAGTGAAGGTGGGGTTTGCTTGGTTTTAAAGGAAAAATTAACAAGAAAATGGTCTCCAAAGTTCGGATATTTTCATAGCTTGAGTCTCTCGAGACTGAAAATGTATATTTTTTGTGCCTTTGTTCAACGTTTTTCAGTAAAATCCACACAAGAATGCGTTTTTTTAAGAACACAAAAGGTATCGAGCAAAAAAAATTTTTTTACTGAAAATTCCCAAACAGAATGAAAAATGTCAGAGTTCTTTGATTTCATTACTTTAGACAAGCACCTGATTTCATCATGCAGCCTCACATTATAATCTTTCATAAAGAATAAGAAACATGGGTGTATTTCACTCGGGATGGAAAGAGGGGGGGAGGAGGTACGTACGTGAGGAATGAGGTGCAGCATAGCATCGGACAGCATGGAGCCGACAGCCAGAGCCACCATGAACTGCAGCGTGTGGTTGTAGAAGACTCGCCTTCTGCTGGGGATGACCAGCGCTCCCGCCAAGCTGCACAGGCTGATGACCGTCACAGACAGCATAGTGTAGCCCCACGCTTAAGGCGGCAAGGATAAAAGAGAAAAGGTAGTGTATGGGGCAGGTTAGTTATTATGTTTTGTAGGTAAAAGTGTTTTACGGTGCTCTCAACTGCACACGGTCACGTGAGCGCGCTGAATACATAAAACATTTTCTGTAGGTAGGACATTTTGAATTTTGCCCGGGTGGCTGCAATTTTAGACCACCAAGGGATCTTTAACGGGCGCAACTTTCACATGGGACCTCAGAGATTTTTATCCTTGTCCAAGATGGCTAGGTGTAGATCTTTCCTACCAGAACAGGTTAGTTAGTCGTTTTTATTTGTACAATCTTTCCTTCCAGAAGTTGTTAAGCTTTACTTTTAGTAAGAGTTTTATAGTACTTGCGACAAAATAGTGCTGAAAATTGGAGAGGTGTTCAAAGAGAGTAACAAACACAAAAAATAAGGCGGAGAGATTTATGGAAGACAGATCTTCAATAGGAGAGATGGAGCACCCGCCAACCACCTATGCTGTTATAAAAGCCATGCAATGTCATCACTTCATAGGGATACACTTCCTTATTAACTTATTGAAACAAGAGTATGATTGTTGTAGCGCGTTTCTCAACCTGCTGCTTAAATACATGTATCTGACCAGATACCTCTTCACAGACACTAGACACTCATATACTAACACACAATGAGGACAACAGGACCAAGAGAATAATTTTTAAAACTATTAATATAAATATAAAGGGCTTGATACAAAAAGTGATTCAACAATTTTTAAGCAAAAAACATTCTTTACGAGTTAAAAAACTGGATTTTAATGTCTTTAAAAGTTATAAATTTAAAACCAATTTAGTAATGACTCACTATTCATTAATTATTAACATTTAATTTTCAAAATGAACAACAGGAACTTTAGTAACCTTTCAAATAGAGCTTTCATTATTTCTAGACACAGATATCCTGTGAATGTGAAAGATACTTGGGTTGAAACAGGTAACAATTTTATGGTAATACAAAAACCATATTTAACAGCTCAATAACTTCTTCTGTCTGCTCAACACAGACGATGCCATGTTATAAATTACGCAGCCGTCTGTCAATACGGGCTTTCAAACAGACAAAGGGGAGCAAACTTTAAGTGGCATTAAGTGGCATCCGTAGCGTTGTGATTAGACTATCAGACTCAAACCATAAGGTCATGGGTTCAAATTCCGTCAGGAACCTAAAATTGTGTCCTTGGGAAAGGTACTTTACTATCCGAATTTTCATAACTTCACCCAGGTGGGAAAGGGTACCCAGCTGCTATAAACAGTGAAAGATCTTGTCAGATTGTAAATGTTTGTAGAGCGCTTAATCAGCTGCTTGCACTGTATGCTTCTCGAGAAGCTGACTGAGAAAGTTTCTGAGGGTTCTATGGTCCGCTGAAGTAATTATAGCGTCAAGCACCTCTTGGCTAGCTGTTGAGCTGATGCACTACTTAATGCTATTTATTAGATAATATTAAGTACTCTGGCCATCTGGCCACTCTCATGTTGTCTCCTAAAGCAAGATATTGTAGTGTGATCTGATATGCCCCCCAGGGCAACCTGGGGCTGGGTATTTATTATTTAGGGTGAACTGCTCACCATTCCCACCAGACACATAATAAAGTGTTACAAACACATTCATGAAAAAAAAACCTCTCATAAGCCATAAGCTGAAGACATGTTGAGTGGTTATGCCCATTCGAATACCTTTTTATTTAGACGTTCTTCAAGTTCTTGTTGTTACAAATGATCTGGGGTTCGAAAGGGAATAATATAAAAGCGAGACCAGCAACTTTAATTTGTGACGGAGATCTTGATTTTATCAGGAAAAGGTTTTATTGAGGAAGGAGTTCTATCATCTTTTAATCTCTATACTATGCTCAGCACCTGTTTGGAGCGCAAACTAGATCTGTTACTGGCGTCATTCAAAGGCCTTAAAACAGGAATTATCTATACTATATTTGTGAAAGTTCGTCACTTTGGTCGCCTAAAACTTCCAAACCAAATAACTTTCGAATGTGAAAAAATTAGCAGTGTTTCAGAATCATTTAAAGGGTGCACAGTAGGAGTCTGAAGTCACTGTACTAGTTTAATTTTCCGTCTTTCATTAGTTTCGTTTAGATCTAATTTTGGGAAAGTCCATCTTCTAAGACACGCCCACAAAGACTTGACGATTGATCTTTGTGAGTTCATCGAACGGGTCCAGCTAGTAATTTTACAATTGCTTCAGGTACACACAGAGTCAGACCATACCCAACACATTGCTTCAATGAGGTACTTCTTAATAAAAATCTAACGTACTGCTGTCTTCCCGCCCACTTAGTACTTGCTCTTTAAGTCTGTCTTTCTTACATGTAATGAAGCAGGTAAAACTCTGAATCCAGGAAAATATATTAAAATCCCTATCTTTGAAAAAGTATCCCCAACAATAAAATCTTACCATGAGCAGCTTTTGGTTTGTAGTTCCATGAGCTTTCTGTTCCATTAGAAGGAGAGTGCTCGTTGTCGTGATCATGGTTGTGGTCATGGCCATCATGAGAATGATTGTGTCCGTCATGCCCATGATCGTGATGATGATCGTGTTCATGCCCATCGTGAGAATGATCGTGTCCGTCATGTCCGTGATCATGATGGTGATCAACAGTATCCTCTGTTCCTTGATGATGTTCATGTCTTTTGTGCTTCTCGCTGTTATATTTCTGAGTGCTCGATGACTTTGGACTACAATAACCTCCATCCAGCTGGTCAAGAAGTGCCGGGCAAATCCGCATAAAATCGGGTACAGTGAGCTTTCTGTCTTTGTCAAGACGGAAAATTCTGGAAATGCCTTCCACCGTCAAGCACTGAGGAGAACAATAATTCATTTTGGTTTTAAAAAAAGAACACGACCAATATTAAGCTAATAAATAACCATCTTGTTATAAGTATTCATATGACCTAAGAGCATCATGCATCAGAGTAACATTGACTATTATCTAGCTAAGATTATTATTGTTTATATTGCTACATTCATTTATTTTTATATTATAATTATGACAATTTATGCATGTGACTGTAAGCCTGTGTACATGGTATATATATGCATGTTTGTGTGTCAGAGTGTGTGTGTGTGTGGTGAAACACCAAACCAATGATAAAGATGTATCTTATCTTAAAGGGTTCTGAAGCCTTTTAACAAAAGTTTTATAATTTCTTACAAGATTCAGGCACATTTCCCTCACAAGCTGTCCCCCACCCCCCGACCAGTCACATAATATAAATATACCATTCATTTCCCACACAGGCGGCCGCCTCTCTTTTATCGCAATCTATTCAATTGTCCCTGAAAAGTACTCCCTGATATGTTAATTTAATACTAACACTTCCAACAAAAGCAGTTCTTAAATAACGTCTTAAATGTCTATGTGTACAAAAATTTGCAGGCATAATCCTGTACCATAAAACGGTTAATTTTTTTCAGCATTTGATGACATGAAGAGAAAAGATGAGCAGTGGTTGCATCTGATTCAGGGGGAAGTGAACTGAGCTGTTAAAAATCAGGAAAGCAAAAGTGTTTCAAAATGTTACGGTAAATAATCTGCTAAGTACACTAGGGATGAGCATTTTACTAAAACCAATTCATTAAATTTTAATCTGCTTTGGTCAAGACTCAATTCCCAATGTTGATAAAAACGCCTTTTTCAAACAAAGTGACTATTTCTCCGAACGTTCTGGAAAATAAAGCTGACTCTATTTCTCCGAACGGTTTCCCATCTAGAGATTTTTGGGGTTATTTGCTTTGCGAGATTTAAGTGTCACCCTTTCATTCTGCCATCCTGCCAGGACTGGGAATAAGCATTTTTTGCATCAAATTCAATTTCTAGAGCTAGAGATTTTTAAATGTCTGAATATTCAGATACTTCAGTCGTGGTTGGGGCAACGTTCCCGGACATCATTTGAAAATACTTCCAAAAGGTACAACCTCGAGAAAATGCTCGACCATGGCAGTAACCTATTTTGCATTTAGACATCCAGCAAAAAACTAAAATCCTTTCATGTAAAAAATATCCCGCAGTATCAAGAAAGAGGTTTTTGGGGTGTTTTTTTTAACGTAATCATTTAAAAATCAGTGATCTTTTTAAATTTGAATTCTAGATTATTAAAAAACTAGTCATAGTTTTACTTTCACTTTTTCCACACAAATAGTGTGTAAGTAACTGGATCAGGCTTTCAATTAAGCAAATAAATTCTTGGTGCCAGAATGAAAAAAAGAAATTGTGTCAGCTTTTCTATGGCAGTACATAAGCCAGGCACAATTCTATAACTATAATATCTTGCCACAAAGCCTATTTTTATTCTTTTTCTTCAGCTTTCAAAATGGCCTACTTACAGAGAACAATTAAATCTATTCCTAACCTTTTATTTCAGTATTTAGGTCTAGGCCTACCCTACTATGCAGTTATAACATTAAATCTGAAATAATTTAATTAAAAGTTTATAACTTACCTCACCAAAGGTGTCTTTGAGACCACCAGGCCCAGGGACTGACTTCTTTACTCTGTTTTGTAACTCACTTGGCATCGTACTGGCGGTTTCCTCTTCTTTGGAAATAGAGCTTTCATTTCTGTGGTGACTGGAATTACTTTCAACATGAAAGATGGTCTTTGGATGAAAAAGTTCAGATTTTGATATATTGAAACTTCCTTTAGTATCACCGCTAAGACTTTCATTTTTCACAAGTGCTTCCAAACCGATGTTTTTCAAAAAAGCGATGAAACTTTCCGTTTGCATGTCAGCCCCACCATTGTATCTTGAAAAGATCCTCAAAATAAAGACTCTGCTCTCATTACTTAGGGGCAAATCTCCAGCCATAAATTTGCCACTATGAGAAGTGTCAGGAGTGAAAGTTGCATCATCATCATTTGCTGCTACTTGTTGATCCCAGCTCGGACCTTTTGAACTCCCTCCATTCAAACTTTGAGTAGAAACATTGGAAGGTGCTAGTTTTCCAGACCACTCCTCTTCCTGAACTTCTTGTCCAGATGACAAAGAAAGGCAGGCTAGCACAAGGCAACAAATTATACACAAGTGCTTACTACAGGGAACACATTGACTTGGTCTAGATTTTTGCGCATGTGCATGAAGTCTTACTTTTCTGTTGTCTTTGTGCATAATCATTGTCACAGCTTTTATAGCACAAAAAAGATTAGGGCACATGAGAAAGTGACCCGCAGTTTCCACTCTCTTCTTTGGTCCACCTTTGTCTTTGTCGTCTTCAGAACTCAAATGAAACCTTGTAAGAAAAGGTTCTATCGTACCAGCACGTCGAGATCTAGAAGTAGAAGTATCCATGTTGTATTCTTTATCAAACAAATAAGTTATATTTAGGTCTTGAGTTCTTAGAGGTAGGCTACCAAACGCCAAATGATAATCTGTAAATCACTCTCTCTCTCTCTCTAGTCTAGAGATAGCCTAATCGTCAAAAGTTTCCACTCACTCCTGACTCTACCCAACTGTGCAGTTAGCACGCTGATTTAATTTATCATAAATTTACTTCCACGTAGATCTAGATTTCTAGATCTATTTATTACTAATCTAGACAGCACTAGGTCTACACGAAATTACAAATCACCAGTGCTTTTTTTTCAGCTAGGCCGGCTTTCGGGGTGGAAAGTTATAGATTCTAGCAGTACATCGATTCATCGAACTCACAGACACAGACCTAGAAGGACAGTTCTACTACGCACGCCTCGACTCCATTTTGAAAAAAATGAGATCCTCTCCGGCTTGACCGTTCAACATAGACTCTACATCTAATTTACTCTTCAATTTGTCAGTTTCATTCAGTTCAAGATTGCAATTTCCAAAAACGTGACAAGATCGTTGTTGACAAAATAAACGCAGCACGTGGATATACTAAGATTAGACTACAAACTAAATACCGGTACAGTGCCGTGTGCATAAGGCCTAGATGTCGTCCATTGGCATCTGCCCACGCCGCTCTTTCGTCTTTGTGAAAAAAAATGGTAGGGGCAGGGTTGGCCCGTTCTAGAACACGTCAGCAACTGAAAAATAGCCAAAAGTTTTAAACCAAATTGCTAGTTTCAAAATGAGTATCATACCTTTCAGAATTAAAGTTCAGTAGAAAGAAATGATTTTTATAAATTATTTGTATTCTTTTTCGCAAATGATACCTTACAAGACGCGTGTACAATAATACTGTGCCGTCGGTATTGGCGTAGCTTCAGCATACAAAATGGCAAATCCTATTTCAGTGGTCACAGCATTACATTTTCTGGATTATACTATCTGACGTACTTCCGGCTCACTGTTCAGTACAGCATTTTGCGCTTTATATAGGGGCAATGAGGTCAGGGGCTGCGCATGCGTGAATGATGTAGCCAAGCGAGTTTTTGGTCTCCATTTAGACATGTTGCAACAGCCCAATGTGGACACACTGTGCAGCAAGTAGATAGTAAACAAAGAGTGGCGGCCATGATGGTGCACAATCTATGATATTATGGTGAAGTTTATCTATGGGGCCAAATCAGTGCAGTCTGAGACGCGAGTCTGGTTTACTGAGCATTAGGGTACGGCCACATTACAAGCTATTTATATACTTAGCGTGATGCAAGCGATGAGCGATAAATTTAGGGGTGGCTATACTATGAGCTACTTTTCTCAAGCTGGAAATAGTGGAGTAAATGTATTTTTAAGTCAGAAGAAATCATTCAGTGCTTCCCAGTCTGTTCTTTATCGGCGCACAACTTCTCTCAACTTTATCAAGAGTCTGGCAGTATCTGGGGGGGGGGGGGGGGGGGGTTCATATTGTCGAATGCTCCTGCACTCGAATTTTAAGTTCTTCGTCGTCATCGGCTTAAAATTTCCTCTTTTTTTTTGCTTCTCTGTTTTAAAAGTCAAGATAATATTTTTTTTAAAGATGAGGTTTTTCTTGCACATAGGATATAAACTCAGCTGTTTTGTCGACTTCTATTGTAAGTGTGTCAAATTGATTAAATTTGTGTATTATATAGGCATATTTATAAATGTTGATGTTTAGTAGAAATAGAGCTTCAGATTTTGAACTCAAAGCTTGTTGTAAAAAAATGTAATTGTTAGATAGTAAAACTGAGGTGTTGTTTAATTAAACAGTACAAAGGAAGTGGGCTTAGGGGGGAGCGGCACAAGACACTCCTGGGACCGGGAAGCTTTAACTCTTTCACTACCTCTAGCCCCATGTTTCACTGTTCACCACTTCCTGCTTCTAAACCACACCTACTTTTGTCATATCGAATCTGAAATTTCAGGCTGAAGTATGATTGATTTTAGCAACATGTTAAGATAGGTCAAAATTTCCCCATTATTTTCATAATATGTAATACATGTGGCTATTATTGAAAATTGAACTTTAAAATCTTTAATGTGTCTGACTGCAGGCAGAATCAGAAAGTAGGTCACAGATAAGGCCCGGTCCAGGGAGGAAAAAAACCCGGTAGTGAAGGAGTTGAAACACGTGACTTCTCCTTGATCAGCAATGCCAAGGTCGATCCGATTGGGAAGCAAGAAGAAACAAAGCGAAGTATAGTATAGATCAGATCTAGTGTATAGTCTCGCTAAAAGGTAGTGAGACTCGCGCGGGAAGAGCTCAAAGCATGTCCATTGTTCATTCAAACGGCGATATCCGTTTTTCTTCTCGTTCCCGCCCAGAACCGCTCTGTCGCTCGTACTGGCTGCACCAGGGAGGTTATTATACGTAGTTTTCTAAGGTCCTTGGGTTGCACCTGCACTGTCTGTAGCCACAACTACATTGTTCTGGTTCCCGTCCAGCCCTGCTTTCTTGTTCACAACGAGGCCACGCCAAGGACCTTTAACCTCTTTGGGCCATACCGAGGCTCTTGCTTCTTCTCGCTTCCGCCCGCCCACCCCAACCCGTTCTCTCGCTTGTAATGTGGCCGCACCTTTAGATTTGCACTCGCCACCGCAGACGGCATACTTGGAGGACGACACCTGATTGGTTGTGCGGCACCTGTGCGCGAACCACAGGGTACGGATTTTTCATTGTCTTTCATTCCAGTTTCCAGGGTGTTTGTTTGCATGTGAGTGAGTGCGCATATGTGTTAGTCGATGTGTGTGTGTGTGTGCGCGCGCGCGTGTGTGTGTGTGAGACAGAGAAAGAGAGAGGGAGAGAGAGAGTGTGTGTGTGTTGTGTGTAGGTGGGTGGGTGCGTGTGTGTTGAAATAAACTGCCGGTAATTTCGATATATATAGTCTTTGGTTGTTGTTGATTGGGTCTAGTCTCTGATTCAACTTAACTTGAAGAAAAATAACATTAACCAACCCAGACCCCTCCACATATTTTATTATTTTCATTTTTTTTTTTTTGAGGGGGGGGGGGGGGTATTTTGTGGCGGGTAAGGGAATGGGTGCGGAAACAAATTATAGGAATAATTATATAGCAGCATTGCTGACACATAATACAAGAAACTATCCTACGCAGGGTCCTATTCATCGGAATATTAGTTCACACACATTCTCTGCCCGCCTCCCCCCCCCCCCCACCTCTCCCTCTTCTCTCTCTCTCTCTCTCTCTCTCTCTCTCTCTCTCTCTCTCTCTCTCTCTCTCTCTCTCTCTCTCTCTCATCTGGCCTGATCTTTTCTTGCTGGCCTAGTTTTTGCACACATTGACATTTGTGTTACGACACGGTGGAATCGGGCGCTCGTCAATTTGGGGGGATGGGGAGTTATTGGTATCATCCTAATCCTGTCCATTAAGTTTGCCCTGTTTGTGATGGAAAAAAACCCACTATATCTTTTATCTTGGATACAAGTATATATATATTGGCGATTGAAGGAGGTGGGGGTCACCTGGTTTCGGAGGTAAAATAAGCGAGAAAATGGCGCAAAAGTTGCGTTATATCCTGAGCTTGAGAGTCCGTGGAAACTGAAAATTTACATCTTTTATTACTTTTATGCTTTTAATCAACTTTTTTCCCCAATAAAATCCACATAGAAATGTGTTCTTTGATGGGCGTGAAAGGTATTGTCCCTAAAAATACAAATTTGATAAAAATTCCCAAACCTGCGGGAAAAAAATGCCAGTTTCTAGACTTTCATTATTTTGACCATGGCCTGATTTCACCGCACTGCCTCACATTTCAGTCTTCAGTTCAGAGGACGACGCGGAGATCATCACCTGGAACACAGCAGGCCTATAATATAGCGTCATAATCATTTCCCATTAAAATTTCTCATACATCGGCCACCATCTATGCGATCATAAATCATTATATGACCGTCTAGGCCACCATAGATCTACGGGCAAACTCGTTATATTATTACACCCCCGCCCTTGGCACACTAACATAATATCTTTGCTTTTTTAAAGCTTTTTTTTGGGGGGGTAGGTGTTATACGGCTCTCGTTAACTCCATAAGGTCAAAGTCATATGAGCGCGAGGGACACATTAAACATTTTCAGTAGGTAAACAATTTTTAATTTTGGCTTGGGGGCGGCCGAAGTCTACTCTTATCGATTTTTTACCTCCAAGGGATTTTTAACATTAATATGCGCAACTTGCGCACAACACCTCCGAGATTTTTCGACCTTGTATGGGGACTCTAGATACATACCTTTTGGGGGCTCTCGTGACTTAGAGGTTAAGGTGTTCGCCTCTCATTCTGTAGGTCTCGGTTTCGAATCCGAATATCGACGGAAATTTTTCTTCTCTTAAATTGTTTCCTTTCACCTCCTTTCCTGCTGACTAGCAATGTTCTGTTGTCTGCTTTCATCTCCACTTTCTGCCCCCGCCTCCTCACCTCCTTTGCTCCCTCCTCTGGGCTCCTGGCTCTTTCTGCAGCCTTTCTACTGCTCCTACTTAGCTCCTTCTTACTGCTGTTTTTCAGCCACACCCCTGATCTTATGGTAGGTAAGATATATACTTAGCCTTCTCAGACAGCGGCGAAAAATCTCGGAGGTCTCGTGCGCAAGTTGCGCACGTTATAGATCCCTTGATAGTCCCAAGTTGGATTGCTATCGATGAAAAAAATATACATCTATGTTGAATAGTCATCTGAAAACAAACGCGTTTGTTTTTGAGGCGACGAGTCGGGCGCGATCGGCTTGTCCAACGATAGCCATTTAAGGCCCTCAATCTGGCGTGCAAACTGACCCAACCCGATCTCCCAATGGGCATTCCGTATGAGTCCTCACACAATTATGATAATTTAATGTCAATTTTCAGTTTCCACGGACTCTCAAGCTATGGAAATTGCAACACTTTGGCAGCCATTTTCTCGCTAGTTTCACATTTGAAACCAGGCAACCCTGACTCCTAAGAACCACCCGACCCGATCGGACCCGATCCG